CATTTCAGATTTCAAATTTGGTTTTACAGCACACTTAACTACATGAACACTTTTTGTTTGTCGTTTTGAGAGCAAACAGTAAAAAAAATGGCAAAAAATCTTTACAAAATATTTTCTCTTTTTATGCTTTTTTTATGTTAATTTAATTTTTAATTTTTTTATTTTGTTATTTCTTATTTAAGGTGCACCTTTTTCTTCCCGATTGCTTGGTTAGTGGGTTGGTTGGTTGCTTGATTGAATGCGCCTGCTCACCGAATCGCAATTATGTGTAATCGCAATATTTTATCTTTGTCTGCTTGTCATTTTTGTTGTTATTGTGGCTGTGTGTTTTTCTTTTTTGTGTTTTTGCCTTTATTAATATTTATATGAGTTTATATTATCCAGGAACCAACTGCATTTGTGTGTTTGCATTTAATTGAATTTGTGTCCTTTTGCCTGCTGCCTTTTCTTTTCTTGCGCTGTACGTGAGTGCCTTGTGTGTGTGTGTGTGTGTGTGTGTCAGTGTGTGACTGTGTGTATGTGTGTGTGAGTGTGTGTAATTTTTTTCTATTTAGTTTTTTTGTTTGCTGACTCAGACTCCGGCTGTGACTCTGGATGCGGCCATTGACAGTTGTTGTACTCTGCCACTGTTATGTTTTGGTTGACTGTTGGCGGTGCTGTTGCTGTCGTCACCGTTGCTGATTTCCCGTTGCCACTTTCCGCGATTGCAAACAACGTTCTAAAGCGCTCGCATACGTCTGCAGTCTGCAGGACATGAGCACGCGACATGGCCACGGCACACGGCCCAAATTCCGAGTCGCAGCAACATCGTCGCGTCAACAACGACGCAGCCGCAGATGCGCAGATGTCGACGAGTTCACGCTCAACAGCAATGGGGCAATGGAGCATTGGAGCATGCTGGAGCCGGTTTCAATTGGGACGGTCTCGTACGGGTAGTGGCAGGCAGGCAGACAGGCAACAGCAGCATCACAGCCTCAGTCACGCTCTTTGCTCTCACGTTTGATTCAGCTACCAGTAGGGGGTCTCTTATTAAGCGCCTTGCTGACTATCGTTTTGGCGGCGTCACCCTCTCTGTGTGGCGCTCTATTTCAGTCTCTCGGTGCGCTACGTTATGCGATGTAGGCCAAAATGTATAGGGCGGGAGCATCAACGCCCCTGTTTTACACGATGGACGTATGGACCTATCTAGGAAAAATGGGATATTTTGTAGATACGCAAGAGGCACACACACACACACACACACCCTCACACATAGAGACCGCACACATGCCGACAGCAAAGTTTCTCAGTCATCTAAAATAAAATACAACTACAGACATAGCGACTAGCCCAAGCATTGGGAACGCAATTTCGAAGCACTCTGCGGGTCTCAAATATATTCAGGCACACACACAAACACACAAAAAAAAATTTAAAAAAAAAAAAAAAGAAAACAAAAAAACAAAAACAAAAACTAAATAATACAAAAATTAAGTTGTTTTTCGAGTTAATTCGAAAAGTTTTGAAAAACTTTTAATTGGTTAGGTGTTGGCTGCCGCAGTTTGTGTTGCTTATATATCTTATTGTTCCGAGTGCCGGTTGCAACAACTTCTTCAATTTAGTGTTAAGCATCACTTAACACTGAGCAGCAAACGCAGTTCAACTGAATGACACTTGTCTAGGTGCAAGTTCCGAGAAAATGCTGCCATAAGCCTTTCACGCCATAAGCCTTTCCGCTTAACCAAACTCATGCTCTAGAGCACTTCGTGACCACAAAGCTTAGTTAAACGTAATAATAATATGCAGAAACTTAATTAAATTTTATCTCTAGTCTAACCGCACATGCTTCTACACATGTAAGTTATGCTGAATGGCTTTTCGCGGGAATTCAGGTTGTGGTGTGAGTTCTTGGAATTAATTGTAAATTGCAGCGTACAAGCCTCGAGCTGATCTAAGAATGTTCAACAGAATTTGTCTTTCAATATTTGAATAAGACTTGGCATAAAGAACAACTATATTTATTTCAAAGCCATTTTTTATTTCATTGAATTTTTTATAACTAACCAACCATCTTTAAGCACACAAATTTAGCTTTGGCCAATTTCCAGCTAATTTGTTTCTTTTATTGTTTGATGCCTTGAAACATTAGACTAGCTATTGGAGATGCTCTCGTTTTGTTTGTTATGCCAATAACAAAAGGAACAAAATAACTCCTGACCTCGCCAATAAAAATAAATTTTATTGGGAGGCATAATTTTTCGCGTGCTTCACTTAAAAGCGTATACATAAATGCATATTTCAGATATATATTGCTATACATACAGACATTTGCAAATGCAATCACATATGCATAATTTCATTTAAGTTAATTCCGGAATTCCGGCTGGTAAAAACGAGTAATCACAAATTGAAAATTTACATCAATTGAAGGCTCACAAATTCAATAGTGTGCGATTTGCAAATCTAATCATGGCCCACCCCAATACCTCCAAACTGTATCGCACCTAACTACTATACTATACCCGCGCAACACACCCTTAACGCTTTACTCGCCCAGTAGCAGCAGCAGGAGCAGCGGAAAGAGCAGCAGAAGCAGCAGAAGCACCAGCAATAGTGCGCGCAGAAAACTATGCTACACTTTTTGTATGAATGTTTGCTGTTTAGAAGTCGTCCAATTTTCCAGTTGAACCTTTGAGGCATACATAATTAATGCCCATTGTAAATGGACGGGAACTGAAATGGGTGTACAATCAAATGAGAAATCAAAAAGCGCACACAACCACACACGCACACCTATACCTGCACCTAAACACACACACACACGCACGCTCAAACTGTGAACTGTGAACTTCAGCCCCTGCCGCACACTTGGCGTCACTATTGCCCGTTCATTGCCTTTTGTTATTCCCACACTAAAACATGCACACGCCACACCTGTATGTGTACACAGTGTTTAGACCAATATATGTATATATACATAAATATATATGTACATATACATATATATGTACATATCTGTATGTACACATATACATACATATAGACATATATGTATGTGTTCTCTTTGTGCTTCATTTACAACTTTACACAACATTGTAAACATAATAACGAGGCGCCTTACGCCGCTGCTGCCGCTGCTGCTGCTTTTACTGTTGCTGCTGTTGTTATATGCTGGCCAGGGGTTACACGGAATAGCAGAGCAGTCTGGCAGCACGGCACATCAGCTGCAAAGAGCACGACGGCTAAAGCGGCGCTCACTACTCTCAGCAAGTGGCTGTGGAGTACCTGCCAAGAAGACCAACGACAACTATTGACATAGTGACACAATCAGACCACACAAACAGCGCTCACACACACAAATACACACATAAATACACACACAAACACACACACACACGCACATCATCTTTGGCTCTCTCTCTCTCTATATGACGTCTTCGCAGTGGTTCGTAAAGAGCGCGAGCACTAAGTAAACACACACACCTTATTCCTCGCTGAATAACTAGGCCAGCAGCTGGAGATGCAGCCAGCATCCATCAGTGGCTTGGATGGATTGGATGGATGCACAACGTTTTGCCGAAACGTCCTCGGCCTCGACAATGTGCGCGTGAGCAGTTGCGCAGATTAAGCCGAGCTCTACAAAGAGCGCGCGCCCTCCTGCTTATAGCTGCTGTATATATCGCATTCGTTTGCTCTTACTCTCACGCTCTCTCTCCCTCTCTCTGTCACACACACACGCTCTGTCTCGCTCTATTTGCCGACTCGTGCATGCGTGAGGATATTTTATATGTATTGTTTTTATTATTCTCGTTTGCTACAAGTTGGGAAATTTTTAAGCACACGTCTCTTTCTCATTTTCTCTCTCTCTCTCTCTTTCTCGCTCTCTCGCTCTCGCTCTCTTTCTCTCTCTGTTTTTCTCGACTTTACCGCTGTGCAGAGTGAGCATTGACATTTGCTTTTTGTGCAACCGGGATGAGCATGGGCATAGGCATGGGCATGGGCATTGGGGAATTTCGGTTTGAAGATTCTGAATAGGGTGTATGTGAGTGTGCGTGTATGCGTGTGTATGTGTGTGTGTGTGTGTGTATGGGGCTTGGCGGTGCGTTGAAGATTGTTGTTTCATGCATGAGTATGAGGGTTGGCGGTGTGACTGAGTGCCTGACTGCGCGCACTGGTGCCCAGCCTGGTTGTTGCTGGCAACTGCTGGCATACCATGCCACATGCTTGAGATATTTTTAGTGTTTTGTCACACAAGCAGACATCTGTTTCTGAAATACTCACATACACACCAAGTCGCGCACAAATATAATTAAGATGTGGAGCCAACAGAGAAGAGGCCCACACACACACACACACTCACGAACACACATCCATGCGTACACACATAAGTAGTCCAGTATGTATGTAAATAAGTAACAAGTACATATTTATGTCCGTGCACGGACTTGAAGAATTTAGCACGAGCAATTTTCGGGTGTTGCTGATAGTGGTGCGAAATTGTCCCCCTCATCTAAAATGAACAAAATGTATCAATCTGAGCATTCTAAAATAGCAACAAAAATGTAGCCTAATATTCAAGGACACGTAGCCCTCAGCCCTTGTGTTCGTAGCACAAATGCCTACTCACACACACACAGACACACACACAAGCACACGCATACACTTTGGCACAACTTAACCGAGTACTCGTAGAGCATGTAGTGGGCCCAAAGATGCGCTTGCCATCTTGAAGCTGATGCCGCTACTGGGTTTTCTATTATTTGTTTTTTTATTTGTATGGCCCTGACATGACACATGTCTTGAGAAAGCGCATAAGGGTATTCCCAGGCACAAATATGTTCTTTTTTTACGGTCATGAAACTGAATATGGTAAAAGCAACTAAAAGTCTGCACAATTTTTAGTTTTTAAAATCATAATATTAGTTTGCTTTTTTTTTTTAAATCAGGTCAGAATCGATTCATTCAAAACACACACACACACACACACACACACACACACACCCAGACTCACTTTGACGGCAAAATTTTCACTTTAATTAAAAGCGAAATCAAATTATGAACCACAACAGTTGCAAGAGGAACATATTTTGCAGGTGTATTTATGCAACTGAACGCTGCCCAGTTGTGATGAAGGACACCGACTTGATTACATTAAATAGCAATATGCTGACCTCACTGGCACTCAACTTTGGCAGGCGACATGAAAGTGAACCCAGCGTCATGCACCGATACAAAAGCGACCCGTGCGAAATAGCCAAATGGTCGCCGTGGGCCTGAAAAATGTTGAGGCTCTTTTTGTTTGAGCCAACAAAATGAAATGTCGTCCTCTAAACTGCTAGTTTTTAAGCTGCGAAAACAGGCGAAAAATATTGTTTTGAGTACGAAATTTGAGCTCGAACAAATCATAGCAAACTGTGAGTTGGCTTTCTCGTCAATAAAAGATAAATTATAAAAATTATATAAAAAAGATAAGTGAATAAAAAAATAAAAGGACACGTTACGTAAGGGCAGACTTGAGAACATGCCGTGCAAAATCCCGAAATGTCGTATTTTCTGTCTGATGGTATCCAAACACTTTAAAAAGCAAAGGAAGCATAAGCTAACCTTCCTTGCAATGATGATAATGCCCGTGTTATTTTCTCTAGTTATTATACTGCTGCGATATATACCAGACATACCGAAATTTCAAACAAGCCCAGATACGGCCGTTCAATATGAATATTGGTGGCAAGCACTCATAGAGAAAATAAACAAGCGCCGCGAATTTATGATCCGAGAGGAAGAAACGTAAGTCAAAGACACTAGATATATAGAGGGGGAAAAATATAGATTGTACTTCTCGCTTATACAGTTTCAAGGGCAATGTGTTCATACCGAAAATAATGGTAGGCTATGCCCCAAACACAACAGTTGGCATACGCAAACTGGTTGATGGTGCCCTGAGTGTTATGTCTCTGACACCGATGCAGATCTCCAGCTTTAACGACTGCAACGAGCTGCGCATACGAGCGACCATGGAGCATTTTATTGCCAGCGTATGCTTTCACAATGTCGATGAGTCGCAGCGTGGTCTGCCCATGCAGCTGCATTATTCGATATTGATGCCATCCGAATTGAGGCTCTATGAAGACACATGGATTGGCAATAATTGGAAAGTGAACCAAATGCTCGACAGCCATCCTGCTAGTTACGTTCCCAGCAATACAACGCCCGTGTCCAACTATGTGCGTGAGGGGTTCATATCGCTTCAGTACTACATTGGCATTGAGTATCTGCAGCAAGCGTCCGGCAACGCAAAGATACCACAAGTGCAGCTACGTACCTTTGGCCTTAATAACACTGTTAATGAGTTGATAAGCGAGGGCATCGATACGTGTGTATTGGTACTGCTGCTAGGACTCATGTTTCCCGTCACCATTCTAACAAAGGTACGTACATGTGTACATACATACATACATATGTTTATACATATCTATATTCGCGCGTTGAGCTTTAATTGTGACAAATACCAAGACGTATCAATTTTTTCAAAAAGTATCAGTTATTATTATTATTATTGTAGAGATTCGGTGGCCTGTTTCTTATTTTCATGTAATTTGTTAGCTTAGGCCGGCTCTAGATTCTGGACTTTTTGTGCTTTATATTAAAAACTGTCCCGTATATTTTAATATTCTTCGAAAATCGTCAACAGCTTAGAACGCAACGTTCGCTTCATCAGCTCTGTTAGTATTTCATTTTATTTTTGGCTTTGAAATCAATTTCGAATTGAAACAAATTTTTATTTCATTCTCAGCATGTACCTTGTTCCCAGGTTTTCGGTAATAATTAAGAAATATTTGAGTTTTCCCTAAACAATCATTTTATTAAAAAGCATATTCGAGAAATATTTGTTCCATTTTGAAAAGAAAAACTAAATTCCGTGAACTACTGACAAATAAATTACCCATTATGGGGCATTAGTACCGTATTTAACAGCCGACAATGGTACTTTATAAACAACTTTGGTACAACATTTTCTATCAATTCAAATTTCCCAACATCCATCACTCTACAAATTGATCCTTATTTAGTTCAAAAAGGAATCATTGAACTGTTTTTGGACATTTTTACTACATTTAGTAATCGAAAGTTGTACCTAATATTCGAGTATGGTACAAAATTAGAATATTAGTCCAAATTAGCAATTCATTATATTTTCAGCTTGTACCATATTGAGCTAGCGAGAGTGGTAGCTGATAATTGGCATTGGTACAAGAGTTGCATCTAACTGTTTTTTACCACTTTCATCAAGTAATAAACATATACATTAGTGGAAAAATAAATTACCAGTTATGATACAAAAAGGTACAAATTTTCCAACAGTTTTGGCTCTGTGAAATGATATATATAATTGTCAAGTAGTCAAGGATCAAATAAAGTGCCAATTGTTGGATATAAATAAATTACCAGTTATGGTACAATAAGGTACAAATTTCCCAAGCTATCATTTCTGTTATCAAGTAGAAATGAATAAAGTACCATTTATGTGATATTTGTAATTATGCCAAATATTGCCAAATCTGCTATAAAAATACCAGATTTTTTTATTTAATTATAATACAAAGAGTCTTAACATACACATAATATAAAATTGTTATAGGAAATAGTTGAGGAGCGTGAACTCTCATTTCATTATTCGCTGAATAGAAACAGTGTGGGAACCCTTTGGCAGCTTGCGGCCTGGTATTTCAATGGATTTTGCCTGCAGCTCATCTCCTGCTTGATATTCACGCTAGTGCTAAAGGTATGAGATCATGATACCTTATGTATATTATGGATATTATCATTGAGATATAATCAAATTGTAGGTTGAGTGGAGCTTAAATTCATCAGTCTTCAAAAAATGTCCATGGCATATCATGATGTTCTTCTTCTTTTCGTACGTGCTCTCCGTCGTGGCATTTTCGGTGCTTCTGGCCGTAATGATACGCACCACAAAAATGGTGGTGATAATAATACCCACCTTCTGGATCGTGGCGACGCTGCCTTTGCTGACGGGCCAGTCGCTGGAATCCTCGTTGTCGAACAACATTCTACTTGTGGCCTCGTGTCTGTTGTGCAATGTGACAATGTGCCGCGGGCTGAAGCGATTGTTGAGCTTTGAGTATCATAATAGCAAATTGAGCGTCCAGCAATATCTGATGTCCACGCTGATGTCAAAGGATCTGACGCTGTTAATGCTCATCGGAATTTTTTATATCCAGACCGTATTGTACATGGTACTGGCAATGGTTCTCGACTGCAACGTATGCCCGTGGTCTTATAAACTTGTCAGGTGCGTGCCATGCCAAAATCTGGCCATTAAGGCACGACAGTGGATCAAACGACGACAACGGCGGAAAAGGAAAATTAGGGAAGATCAGGAGGAGCTCAATGAGAGCCTGTCGCGTCGCATTTCTGAATATACAGATAAACGTGAACAATTAACAGAAACAGTGCAGCTGCTCAAGGAGCAGGCAAACAAACTAGTGCCAACGAAGATGATGAATCAGCCGAGACGCAAATTTGATACAGATATTAGCACCGAATCAATGAGTTCCTCAAGCGAATCAGATGAGGCTTTGATTGACAGGGCCAATCAGCAGAATGCACTGGACAGACAACTATTGGTCTGGTTGAGTAACCACGAAATGGAGAACAAGGCCATGCTCGATAGCGATTCAAAGCGGGTTGCCCAGAAGTTCTACCTGCAGCAGGCGTCCAACGTGAACGAGCCGTTGGAGAGCAGCGGAGATACAGACAGCGAGGAGGAAAGTGATGGGGAGAAGGGTCCGATTGTCATCGAATTTAATAACGTTTGGAAAAAGTTCAACAAAACCTTTGTGGTGCGTAAGTTCTCGCTGAAAGTATATCAAAATGAGCTAATGGTCCTGCTGGGCCACAATGCTGCCGGCAAAACAACCATACTGAATATGGCCTGTGGTCATACGGCGCCCAGCCATGGCAGCATTCTAATTGACGGCTTTGATGTGTTCAAGCGACCAGCGCGTGCCTTCGAACACGTAGGCATATCCCTGCAAACCGTCAATCTCTTCAATGAGTTCACATTCGCCGAGCACATAGCCTACTTCTGTCGACTGCGCGGCCTATCGGTCAGCCAGACGAAACATGATGTTAAATCATATTTGCACTCGCTGCACGCCGGCGATCTGGCCCATTTGCCCGTCGCAATGCTAACAAATGGACACAGGCGACTCCTCCAGGTGCTATGCGCATTCGCCGGACGCACAAAAATCGTGCTGCTCGACAGGCCCATGGAGGGCGTGGACGCCGATAAGCGACGCCATTTCTATAACTTTGTGTTTCGCGAGAAGTCCAATCGCACCATACTGATCACAACCAACTATCCGAATGTGGCCAGCAATCTGGGCGATCGCATAGGCATTTTGATCAATGGCAAACTGATTATCTGCGACAAGGAGATGCGTCTGTTACGCAGGAACCAGAATGTCTATCGCTTGGTAAGTCATCCATGCGGATCCCTTGTTCAGTTTTCTGTCTATTTGTCGAATTTATCAAATTCCGCAACCCATTTCCAAAGTTTTACAGTCATTGTAAAAGTTTGAGAGTCACACTAACTGTAGACTCACAAAAATGTTCGCAAATTAGTTATACGTATATATATTTGAAAATTCGTAAATTTAAATAGATGTCTTCTATTTCAGAAAAGAGTAGAAATAGAGAAATGTTTCGTAGTTTTGAACTTTTCAAGAAAAATTTGTTTGGGTGCATTAAAAAGGTCTCTTATTCGCATATTTGAAGCTATTTTTCAACAGTTTTTATACTTTGATTGTTATGAACAGGTTTGTTACTTGGGCAGCGGCTGCAATTTTCGACTGTTATTCAATTTTTTCGCCTATCACATACCAAGCATGGATCTGGAATCGAAGATGGGCGACACAGCCGTCTTTGCCATTGAGCACGAGGACTTGCTGCTATTGTATAAGCTGGTTGATTTGCTGTCAATCAAAATGAATGATTTGCATCTGGATAGCTTTAAGCTAAAGACGACCTCCCTCGAGCAGATACTGCTGAAGGCCATGATGCACAAGCATGTGAAGAACACTGAGTTTATGCAAAACCCATTGCCCATGCTGGCCAATCGCATACGTCAGGTCGAGGCGACGAAACTCTCGACAAAGAAGAGCAAATTCCTGACCGATATTGCCCAGCTGCTGACCCACATCCGTGTGGTGCTGCGCAAACGATTTATTGTCGACATGCGCTGCTGCACCGTGCTAATGCTCCAATTGCTTTTGCCCAGCGTTGTCTGCACCTGGTGTTTCATCATGCCGCACCTGGAGGAGGGACGCTACCAGCTGCCCACAGTATCGATGACAATGAACCATTTCCAGCACACGGTCACGTTACTGGCCCAACGAGCCCTATTGGAGCCGGTGCGGGCCGCAAGTAAACATTATCTGGAGCATGCCACGCACGGTCAGCGAATTATTGAAATCGATCCAAATTTGGAGATGGTCGAATACATCAGATGGTATACGGCGAAGAATCTAATAATGACCGATCTCAACTTCGTTGTTGCCGCCATATTCAGTGATCAGGCAGTCGAAGCGCTGTACAACAACAATCTAATGCACTCGGCGCCAATTAGCCTGAGTCTGGTCATGAACTCATTGGCCGTGTGAGTGATCCATTTTGATCTCATTAGAATAGTGTCTCGTATTTTCTAATTGATCTAATTGATGTATAGGGCCTTTGTCAATCCCAAAGCTGGCATTAATGTGAAGCTCGAGCTGCTGCCCTTCTCCACCATGCATACGGTCTATATGACCAATGAGCTGAACTGCCTGGACTGGGTCATTTGGCTAACGTTGAGCTTCTGTTTCTGTTATGTTTGGTCATTGCCGCTGCTGGACTTTGGTCTGGGTCGCGGTACGGCCTACCAACGCATTGAGGTTATCGGTGGCATGCGTTTTGGTACACTCAGCGTGGCCAACTTCATATATGGTGTCCTTGTGGTAATCGCCAGCCTGATTCCATTGAATGCGGTCATTTTATACTTTCACACATCACTGCCCATGGATATTTATGATAATTGTGAGTGATTAACTCTGCTCGATTCGATTTGAGTCGAGTCGACTCTGCAACAATTCTTTCAATTTTAACCACAGTCGCATTTCTCTATGTCATACTCATTGCCGGCGCTTGCGTTACGTCCATTAATATTCTGCTCTCGTACTGGCTGACAAAGCTGCGCATTGGGTATATTGTAATCATAATATTATACTCGATCGGTATCGTATTGTATTTGTCAAGTTACGAATGGCAGACAATGCAATTTCATAGCCAGTTCAGGGAACTCAACTTTTTACCAATTTATGCGATGCTCAACAATCTGATGCGGCTCAATAATATATCCGAAATAATTGATGTATGCGCCGATGAGCAGACCTACAAGACCAGTGTGCATCTGGAGCAGTGTCAGCTGGTGCCAAATTGTTGTGGTGAGTGCTGAGAACTAAATCAATCCTATTAAGTCATCTAATATTTTCAACTGAATATGTCGAGTACTCCCGTCTGGAGCAGACTGAATTATAAAATGATTTGTATACGATCTGCACTCTTTAATATCAAAATTTCTTTTGTTAGAGCAAGCACGCCGAGATGATCCATATTGGGAATTTACATGGACTGCTTATCTTACCATGATATTGATATGGGGATTTATCTACATACGATTTGGCCTGAGTGTGGCAAAATTGAAGCCGCCCAGAAGTAATGATACCCTAAAAAAGGACATCGAGTAAGTAGGCCACCAAGTGAAGCTGCTATGAAATTTGCACAACTTTTATATTTTCTCATCTTTATTACAGCCCTGACAGTTGCTTTGACCAAAGCATCCTTCACTTTACCAACGAGAATGAGCCCGACAACACGTGGATCAAGGAGAAGATACGTGTCCGTACACTGGAGCGTCCCTTGATTAAGACCAAGGCGCTGCATGTCGAAAATTTGGCAGTGTTTTTTCGTACGCATGTGGTGCTAAATCATATCAACTTCTTGGTAGAACGGTACGTGAATGATAAATAGTAAAAATATAATAAGTATAACGAGGCTGCAAACCGACAAGCGAAGACTTGAATCAAAGCCTATTAAGGCTAGTTTTGCCGTTTGCAGCCGTGATACATATTGCGCTTAAAGCCAAAGCATGTTATAATTTATAATTTGTTATTGCTTTAATTAAGTTACCAAATCATGTCCGTGGTGGGTGTGAACGGTTCCGGTAAAACGGTCCTAATCAAGACGATTTTGGGCGCCTATCCCCCCAGCGCGGGCAGCATAAGCAGCTTTGGGAAGCACTCGTATCAGTACAGTGAGCACGATAACTATAAGCTAATTGGATATTGCGCACAGGACGATACGATCAAGGAGGCACTGACTGTTATCGAGTATCTGCAAATCGTACTGATCATACGTGGCCTGAAGAAGGCACATGCCTTGGAGGAAACGAAAAACTTATTACAGATATTCGATCTATACAACAGTCGATTCCATTTGCTGCCCCAATGCAGTCGAGGCGTGATGAAGCGCCTGAGCCTGGCCATATCACTGATTGGATATGCTGGGCTCATTCTAATGGATGATCCCTTTGCCTATCTGGATGTGAGCAGCCAGCACAACATATATAGTTTGATTCAATCGCAGTGCTTCAACGGCCAGGCGGTGCTCTATACCAGCTCGGATCCCAAGTACTGCGACGTGGCCAACCGGACGACCCTGCTGCACCGTACGAACCTGTGCGTCATTGGTGACCGGGAGGATCTGCAAATGAAACAGCTGGACGAGTATATTGTTGTCAAGGCACGTATTCAAATTGATGAGTTTTACATGGATAAGGACGAGGATAAGGACGAGGCGCGACTTTCTGATTTGTCCAATAGCCGGAACACCGACGAGAACCAGGATTACTTTCAGTTCTGTTCAATAATTGAACATTTTTTCCCTCATGCGATCATTAAGTAAGTTAAATAATACATAACTATTCAGTGCATATGATACATATATAAGTATGTATGATTTCAGATCCATCACCAATCATATGGCCTGTTTCTGGCTATCGAAAAGAACGTATAGCATGTCGGTGGCCCTGGAGACGCTGCACAAAAACAAAAATATCTTTTTTCCATTCACGATCTGTTCACCTTTCCTCAAATCGATATTCATAAACGTTGTGGGACAACCGGGTCGAACTATTCAAATAATCGAAGACGAGGATATCTAATTTTTATATTTTTTGATACGATTTTGCTGCTCTTTTTAGATAGGCATATAGGTAATAGAAAATATATATAATACTAATATTATATATATTTCATAGGTTCAAGCATATTCATCATTTTCTTAAGTTACAATTTCTGTATAAATCTTAAAAGCATTTGGGGCTAACTTAAGTCTGGGCATATCCCAAATAAAGTACTCATTCCTTTCCTATATTGTCTGAACCAAAAAGCTCTGAATATTATTTAACTGCGGCCAATGCTCTTTCAAATTTATTTATGTACAAAACAATCCTAATCGCCTACATGACAGATGCCAACAATAATATGACTGGCGCATTTGTCAGACAAGTGTTTGTGGCCGAAACTGAAGACTAGAAACAAACTATCCCGGCATTGCTTCAACGTGACAGAATCAAAGCTAACAGACCGTACAATTGGCTATAAAGCTGACCCCAGCTGACCATACAAGTAATTGAGTTAAAAATAATGAACCCACTTTTTCACAGCTAAGAATAATATGCAAACATGATAAAACAAATATGTGCGTGCATGTACATCCTATATATAATATTAAGTAAGCACACGACTAGTCGGCTTGCAGATACCCTATATTCGGTCTGAAGCGTCCTAAAACAATTGTACATATTTCAAAACAATATTCCGTACCTGAGTACCTAAATACCCCGTTTGGTAAGCTATACCTAACCTAATCTATATAAATAGGAAATTGGATGTGAACAGAAAAAAACATACGTATATATAAACATATATTCTTTAAGGGTCCGCACATATCTCCCCATCTTTTTTGCATATAGCCACGGCTGCCGCGTGAAACAACTATGTTGTACCAAAGACTATTGAAAATGTACCAAACTCGGCAAAAATGGATACAACCAATATAGTAGCATAGAAAAGGCGTTTTAGAATGTGGAAATATAGTAAAATGGAAATGCATATAAACAGATAATATTTACATATTTGCGCAATTTTTAAGAAATACCATTAGTACCGTAGCCCTCCACATATCATGAATTTTATGTGTACCTTATCCATATTTGGAATACAATTTTTTTAAAATGTAAATTGATTAAACTAATCAATTCATTTAAATAATAATATATATTTAAATAAAAATATTTATTAATAAAGTTATAGCTTTAATTATATTTAAATCATTACTATTTTCTTATTTATTATTATTATTTATTATTAAAAATATTATCATTTTAATTATAAATATTTTTATTATTATTGTTATTATATTATTATTATTATCGTTATTATTATTATTCTTTTTATTGTTATTCATTTTATATGATTGTCAGTATTAATGTCATTATCAATATAATTCGACTTATTATTATCAATATGAAACTTATAGTTAATTTGTTAAGTTGGTCCATATTTATTGATATATTCCCAGTAATATATGACAAACTAATATCTGCTTGCCAGGGTATTTTTGACGCGACGCTTGCAAAATTTCGTAAAAATGTGCAATTTTGTATTTTTTATAAGTTCGCTGATAGGGTCTATTTAGATGTGAGTAAAAAATTATTCGAGTATTTGCAGCATACGAATGCGATTTTTGTTTGTTCTGCAATTTATTAATAGCATCGAGGCCCAGAGCAAGTGCAGCACTTGTGCTCGGAGCAGAGAGCATGGTCCTCACATATGCATCAAAATTATTTTCATCTGGGTATATTTTCTATGGGCACAATTAGTCTGTGTGAAAAGGTTGAGTAAACTATTTGGAAGGCGCGAAAATATTAAGAAAAAAAAGAACGGCGACAAAAAAGAGTACCTAAAAACGATAAAGAAAAAAATATTGCAATATAAAAATGGTTTCCAGCCAGTCAGCAACTGCAAATCGCGTCTTTTGGTTAGCAATACTATTCATCAGCTTATTGCTGCCATTGGACACCCAGGAGGCCAGCCGTGACCTGTGCAAGGGCTCAGACGATGCGGCCGCCTGTGCTCAGGCGACCGAAGCTCTAGGCACGGGTCGCAAGGCAGCGCCCAAACGAGCCAAGTTTAAGTTCCATAAAATTCAGCGCATGGACGACGACGACGACAACGGCGACACTGGCGATGATAACGAATCGGGCGCTGAAGACATGGCTGATGACAATGATAATGACGACGATGAGAACGATAACGATACTGATAATGATAATGATGAGTCCAAGGCTGGCAATAGAAGGCGGCAAGCTGAGGATAGATCTTCGATTGAAAATTATAATGATAACGAAACCGATGACGAAGACAAGACCGAACCGTCGCTACTGAATCGCATTTGGAACAGATTTGTTTGGGGCGAAGCTGCTGCCAATGAGACAGAGACAGCAGAGACACAGTATCCCAATGTGCTCAACTGGCTGCACTGGCTGACGGAGCCCACGGAGGAAGCCGCTCCAGTGGGCAAAAAAGAAAAGTCGCGCAAATCGGTGAAAAGCGACATTGATTGGCTGACATATTTAAAGCGCTGGCCCTTCAACAGCATCTTCCCAGAGCCGCCAGCGCAGCCCAGCGCCAAGCGGCGGCGCGAGCGGCACAGGAACAGCCCGGATGATGGTGAGAGCAGCGGCCCGTCGCGACCGCAGCCGCCCAAGAGCGAGGAATATGTCGAGCTGCTGATACACTCGCTGCCCGCGTTCATTGGCAGCGTGTCCCAAGCGAAGAGCGGCGATTGCCACCAGCAGCTGGAGCTGCTGCATCGCCAGCTGCGTGCTCACAAGATGTGGACGTTGCAGAGTAGGAGCACATGACCGATCCCCAGCAGGGATTATCTCTGATATAGCTGATATGCCCATTTGCATTGCAGTGCTCGATGCCACGGCCAAAATCGGTGCCGGTCTGTTGCGCGGCAACATAAACCAGTTTGGGGACTATGACCAATGCACCAAGGTGTCCACGACGGTGCAGACGACCGCGTCCAAGAGTCCGATGCGCGTGCATGGCAAATACTGTTTGGCCCAAATCGAGATGCGATCGACGCTCAGCAGTCTCAAGGAGCCGCTGCATCTGCTGCATGGACGCGACCTGTGGCACGCCCACCTGAAACATGTAGCTAGCCAGCAGCCCAGCAAAAATGGGATCTCATCTCTTATAATTGAAGTTCTATTGGTTTTCTATTTGGTTTTATTTTTCAGCCCAAGCACTTTGCACCACGCTACAACATCGCCAACTGGGGCATTTGCCTGCCGCACGCCTGCTCCGCCCATGTGGTGCATAGCATTATTGAGACCAGTCTGCGTCCCTACAATGACACGGGCATCGAGTTCCACATCGAGGTGAGAGACGAGCACTGCACCACAAGGCAGCGGAAGAGTTTCACGAAGCTTTTGGCCAAGGACAGCTATTTGGCAACGGGCATGTGAGTTGACAATCGAACTATTTCTGGAGCTCTATGTAATCCGTTGCATAGATTAGGCATTGCCACGCTGGGCCTGATGTGTCTGTTGGCGCTCGGCTGGGAGCACTGGGACTGGATCAGCCACAAGCTGATGCGCCTGCACGGCGGCAACGAGGCGGACGCACAGCTGGCGGCAGCTGAGGCGAACAGAGTCGAGAATGTGTGTGAGCCGCAGCCCGCTGAGGAGCCGGAGCTGGACGAGACGGCAGCCAAAAAGGAGGAGGAGATCACGCCGGCGCTACATGTACGGCTGTTGGGCGCCTTCTCGCCACAGCGCACTCTGGAGTCGCTAGTCTCGCTGACACATCCAGATGTTGAGTTCCCACTGATACATCTGCTGAAGATATTGGGCACGCTCATGATCTATGTCAATCTCAAGTACATCATGGCCGGCCATTTGCCCTTGACGAATCGCGACGCATTTGTTGGCACTGTGAATCGCAACTGGAGCCTGGCGTGCCGCATTCCACTGCTATACAGCGACATGTTGCTCCTGATAGGTGGCTTCTTGGTGGCCCACCAGCTGTCCAATGACATGGAGCAAACGTGCCGTTTGAGCTTCCTGCGGAATGTCGGCTCGAAGGCGTGTCGCCATATGCCCAGCATACTGGCGGTGATCGGCTTCCAAACCTGGATACTGCCACATCTGGGCAGCGGTCCGCTCTGGCATCTGCTTGTCGGCGAGAATGCCCGTCTCTGCGAGGAGAATATGTGGCGTAATGCGCTCAGTGTCCAAAACACTGGCGACCTTGAGGAAATGGTATTGAAGTTGATTTCCTTATCGCTAATACTATTCCAAAAGTATACAATCCAATTCGATTTCAGTGCTCGCCCATCACGGTCCAACTCTCACTGGATTTGCAATTGTACTTTCTGGGTGCACTCGTCGTCTGGCTGTACTTCACCGATCCAGAGGCTGGTTTTTTTCTCTGTGGCGCTTTTCATGCCATCTCCGTTGCGGCGCGATTTTCACGCACTCAGCGAGATTTCCTGGCACCGTCGCTCTTCCACGGCATCGGGTGGGTGTTCCATTAGATTTACGCAAAACTCATGCTCAAACTTAGTTTTCATAAGCTGCACCCATTGTAAATTTGTAAAAAGGCATGATGTTTTTCTGCCAACGTATGCAGCAGGCAAAAGGAGGCACATTCGACTGCATAGAGAGTAAATACGCTTGATCAGGTCGAGAAGCTGAGTCGGCTTAACCAAGTCCATGTCTGTCCGTCCCGTCTATGAGAACTAAAGGAGAGATTGTTTTCTAGCTCGTAAATGATGGCAGCTAGATATGTAGAATACACTGTCTGGGTATACTTCACCTATTGGGGACACTTCCCCAACCCCCAAAATTGGAAAAAACCTAATTTGAAAACTAGACCCTTAAACTGTATTATTTACACTCATACAATCAGCAGGGTTTCATTGTTCATTGCCCATCCCATAAACTTTCTATCTTTACGTTGTCCAACCCCTCAGAACTAAAAAGTCGCATGCTTAGTGATATTTTGTCATTTTAGTAATTAATTTGTAAAATTTTGTTATCATTGTGTTATCATTGCTAATGATATTGGGTTTTCTATGAAAACAATATTGCTTAAAAAAAAGTTCAATGCTATTTTTTTTTTTAATTTTTATCATTATTTCCGTATTCAATCATAATGAAATATTAATCAGATATCCATTATTAATACATTTTCAATGATAATAATATAAGTTTTTCAATTTATTTCTTTTTTTGAACTATAATTAAATGCGATTTTCGTTATAGTTATTTTATTCAATGAAAATTGTAAATAATTTTTTATGCTAATCTTTTCAATGATCAATTATTGTAATTTTCAATTTATTTATTTTATGATATTAACTATCATTGCCTTCATTCTAATGAAATCACTAATGAATTTGCACTACAAAAGTATAATAACTATATAATTAATTTCTTAAAATTTCATCAAAATCGGACTACAAAAATATTCAAGAATACAGACGCATACACACATACATGCGTGTGTGAGTGTGTGTGATTTTTGTGTATGCAAGTAAAGTAGGGAGCTGGAACGCTTGTAACGGCAACTCGAGCCTAGGTGCAGGGTATCAACTAGTCGGCACTCGGACTTATTTTCATGTTGTTTTTTTTTTTTGTTTTTTATTAACAGTGTCAGCAAGTTCTACCGCACCGCTAATCTTATTTACAACTCGCCAATCACGCGTGCAACCACTTACCTTTTGGGCATTGGCGCCGGCCTCCTATTCCGCAGCGAGTCCGGATCTTTTGGCGTCGTGCCACGTTTTCGGCGTGCGGGTTGGGCTCTGGCAATGCTGGGCATTGCCTGGTGCTTTTGGTCAGCCGCGGCGGGAATGCGCACCAAATTCGTATACAATGCGACGGAGGCAGCTGCATACCTGGCCTGGAGTCCGCTTATACTTGGCCTCGGCCTATGCTGGGCCATTCTGATGGCGCCACTGGACAAAGGTCTGGTGCAGCGTTATCCAAACATTGCCCGTCCTGTGCTGCTCCTGTCGAGAATGCAAATTCCGCTACAGCTAGCCAGCTATGTGGTCGTCCTGTGGAGCACGGCAAGCGTAAAGGAGCCCCATCAATTTCAAATCTCCGATTTGGTACGTAAATCTCTTCTGCATACCACATTCAAGTATTTGCAACCCTTATGTCGGCTCCGCAGATAAGCCTACAGGAGTTGGCGTGCATTGTGTGCTTCGCCCTTGTTGTGGCCTTCCTAATTGACTTTCCCGCCCAGCAAATAGGTTATATATTATTGGACATCATATTTAGCGATGTTCTGCTATCGAGCAGCAAAGTAAGCACAACTGTGGAGCCGTCGGAGGCGACGCCATCGGAGAAATCACCGGATTCGCCAGAGCCCATCGAATCGATTTGGTCCTCTGAATCAGAGCCTGAGGAGGAAAAGTCGAACGACATTTAATGCTTCAATTATACTTATTGCATCTATGTATTTTTATTTCCATTAATTAAAGTTTGTCATTGATAAGCCAGATAGCCAGACTGAGCAAAAAGAAAGAGTCTTTGCTTTATCCTAACTCCAGGTTGGAGGTTTCTAGTCTTTTTTTTTATATTAGTTAGTCTGATTAAATCAAAATATTCGCAAAGTTTTCCACAAAGAGCTGATAACACAGTTAAAAACTCTCTTGGCCGGACAGCGGCCGTCCGTTCAAGAGGAGAATGCCTTTTGCCTGACTAGGGTAAAGATTCGTTCATCATACTATTATAGAAACTGTCAAATTTTGGGACTCTAGACTCAAAATAACAACATTTCGATATCGATTTTTATCGATTATATCCAAATATCGATTATCGGAAACAAACTCTTGCTGCGCGGACACTAGGCAAAAGTACGTTCAAAATTTCACGCATGTAGCTCTTATAGGTTCTGAGATCGACGGACAGGCAGACGAACATGGTTTGATCGACTCGACTATTGATGCTGATCAAGAATATTTACACTTTATGCGATCGGATATGCTTTCTCTTGCCTGTTACATACATTTGTACAAAAACATTTTACCCTTTAAAAGAGTCGAGGTATCCAGAAAATAAAATATTCCTGATCTGTATATTCAATACGAAAGCCTACATGCCCATTCACATACTTAAAGGCGTCGGATATGCCTCCTACTGCCTGTCACAAACATTTGTACAAAACTAATTTCTATATATATATATATATATATATATAAATTGCATAGATGCCACAATAATTGTACAAAATCAGTTCATTATAAAAGTTAGTTAACTTATGACTTTATAAGCAAAGTAGTATTTTCGTCTTGGGCACAATGTATACAGACTATAGCGAGTCGCGTTTATAAATAGGTAACTTTTCAAATTTATTGTATTAATGGCAATACTTCAATGACAAACTCTGCACATGCTGCACCGCAGCAGGAAACTACAATAATCCTAAGCCTATAAGTCTTTGGCGTAAGCCTAGCGCGGTGGAATTTTTGCGATTGCATTTAAAATGCTTGGATAGCTTGGATAGCTCATTGGGCCTGCTCCTTAACTTTGCGTTGACGCGGCGTCTGGGCCTCTAGGCTCTCCGGTGTCTTATCGCTAGCCTTATCTAGCTGTAGATCTTCAATGTTCGCCCCAACCTCAGCAATTTCGTACTTCTCATCCAGGAAACTCAGCTCGTCCTCGTCGCGTAAACTGCTCGAGCTGGAGAGGATCACACTGCTGGCTTTCTTTTGCAGCTGGTTCGTGAGCCGTGCGTATCTGATTTGCAAATTGTGCAGCCAGGTGGCATCGGACCAGTGGTACCAGCTAAGCAGAAAGACGACCAATATAAAGAATAGATTGGTGCTAATGGCTGGAAAGGGAGTGCATGCAAAGCCAGTTTAGATGATATTGTCCAAATGGGAATGATCAGTGCTGCAGAACTTACCCACGATGGCCGAAAGAATGGGCCAGTTGAACATGATGTACCGCAGACCAGTAAAATCCGCCTCAATGTGCAACGTAACCGTATAGAATTGTATCTTCTGCGATTGTATCTCTACATAAACATCGGTTATGGGATGCTGACGCTCCTCCAAATAACGTGAAAATATTTCGACCGGCACCTTCTGGAACTCCTCCTTCCAGCCCAGCACATAGAGCGGACTCAGTGCCCATGTGGATATCATTCGTATCAACGGCGAGCGATAGCGCATCATGGCCGATCGGCACGAGTGACCACGCAGCATGGAATCATAGTCGCGCATCTCAGCACAGACCATAAACATGCCCAGCTCCAGGTTCTGCGGCGATTCCGGCATATCAATGTTGACAATGACCTTGTACGCTTGACCCACCATCAACAGTTGTTGTTTCTTAGTCAGCGACACATGGGCATGGGGAAAGGTGCAGGGTGTGCTGGTCTCCAGGCAGGTTCTGCAAATGTGCCGCCAATCAAAATGAACATTTGCCTTGCAGCTGTGTTGAGTGGAATACGTACTTGAACTGCATGTGCACGGGTCGCGTATGCGATATCGGCGGCATGTAGACATAGTAGAAGGCGGCATAGAAGAACACGGCTAGCCAAATGATCAGCACAACGGCAAAGGCGATCAGTCCCAGGCGCAGCACCAGCTCCCGTATGGTGTCCACTTTCTCATCGGCTTTGCTGCGAAATCGATCGTAGACATTGAGCGTTAGATTTACGGCCGGGCGCACAATAAAGCGGCGGCCCAACCCAAGCGGGTCAAAGCAGAAAACGATGAAACGCAGCAGGAAATTCATGACGGCGCGATCTGGCGAGCGTAACTATGACTGCGTCTGTTATCGAACTGTGGCTATTAAGTACCGTAAATGTAGCACATACTACTTAATAATTGAGGTTCTTATCGGCGATAATGTCTATTGCCGGATTTGCATGGTTTGAAGTTCAAACTTTGAACGGCAAAAGTGGACATTATCAGTTGTTAACAAATTTGCAATCAACTGGGAGCTGCGCGCTGAATCATTCACGTGCATATCTGCAGAAATACTGGTTTTTAGTTGAACTAGCTCCAGAACCAGTTCTCTTGTTCACACATATCGTTGGTATCAATGTAATGTATAAATTGTATTATTAGCGAAAACATATTGTTGTGCATATTGTGATAAATTATAATTAAAATAATTAATAATATTTTATTTTATGTTTATATTAGCTATATATTTGATTTAGTTTTTGGCATGTTTGCCAATCGACAACACTGGTTCATGCCTCAAGCTTACCGATATATTGAAATATCGATATGTATTTAGCCTTTGGATTTGTGTATGTAAACGTAATATAGCCAATCGCTTTAATAGTATATAGAATGTAATAATCAAACAAAAGTAATTATAAAAAACAATCAAGTGTAACTAGAAACGCAATGTGTTAAGCAACAAGACTCGAATATGTGTGCATTGTAATATTTGTACCCAAGTTGGCTGACATCGAAGGTTTCTGGCCTCTCTCACAACCAGACAAAAACAATGAGCAACTACAGATACCACGGCGGGGGCGGAGGTGGCGGCGTCGGCGTTGGCTATTATGGCATTGAGGTGCGCGACATGCATCAGCGGATATCTTATCCGCATCACTTTACATTCGTCAGCTCCTGCGTGAAATACATGATATTCATATTGAACTTCATGTTTTGGCTGTTTGGCGGCCTGCTGCTGGGCATCGGTGTGTATGCGTTTAAGGACAAATGGGAGGAGGCGAACGGTTGGGTGAAGCTGGAAAATATTTATGATGTTGTGCTCAATATATCCCTGGTGATGATCATAACGGGCATTGTCATATTTGTGGTCAGCTTTGCTGGCTGCCTGGGCGCACTGCGCGAAAACACCTGTCTGCTCAAATTTTACTCGATGTGCCTGTTGATATTCTTCCTCATGGAAATGGCCATAGGTACGTGGAATTGTTGAATCGTAACGATCAATCACATGTTCTTATACAATGCCTACTTTACAGCCATCATTTGCTTTGTCTTCCCGCAAAACATGAACTCTTTTCTCGAAGATCAGTTCACTGATAAGATTATACACTCGTATCGTGATGATCCGGACTTACAGAATTTCATTGACTTTGCCCAGCAGGAGTTCAAGTGCTGTGGCCTGAGCAATGCCGGCTACCAGGACTGGAGCAAGAACGAGTACTTCAACTGCTCCTCGCCGTCGGTGGAAAAGTGCGGAGTGCCATATAGCTGTTGCATGAATGCGACTGACATTAGCTCCGGCTTGGTGAACATCATGTGCGGCTACGGTGTGCAGGAACATTCGGTTGCGGCCGCCAGCAAACTAATTTGGACCAGTGGTTGCATTGAAATCGTGCGTGTCTGGGCCGAGCGCAATCTCTATACTATTGCGGGCATAGCGCTGGGCATTGCACTTGTACAATTGTTGGTCATCTACTTGGCCAAAACCCTGGAGGGCCAAATCGAATTGCAGAAGTCACGCTGGGCAGCGTAAGGACACACACATACACATATAGTCAGACTGCCAATCGCTGTGAGATAAGGATAGAGCATGTATCCTTGCTACGCAGCTGCTCCACTTCGAGATTGATTAACCGAGCTATTCAAAGATTTGTTGCATTTAGATTCGGTTTTTTATATTCCACAGTAGCAGACTTTTCTTTTCTCTCTTTTTGTCTTTTAAATGTTTCAAAAAAGCATATTTATACACTATTTAAAGATTGTAAATTGAACTTATTCAATTTGTAAAAGTCTGAAATAAGTATGTTCATTTAAACAGAAACAATTAATGTTCTCTTAATTGGTTTATATCGAAGGACCAATTTAGCTATAATATTACCACCTACGACAATATGTATATATACATGTACTTACTTATATAAGTAGAGAGTCGAGTCAAATGAACATACCCTATTTTGTAAGTGCACATTAAATAGAGATTGCATTTTATAATATTTATGCTAACAAGGAATAGTTATTTTTGGATTTCCGAAAATTAAGCACCCCCTGCAGAGAAACAAAACCTTATTCTTATCAAATCTCCCAATTGTTCCCAAGACATTTCTATTAGATAACTTCAAAACGCAGCGACTAGCATGCTTAGAAACTGACAGGCAGACAGACGAATATGTCCTAGATCAAGGACATATATTTTATAAGGTCTAAGTTATCTCCTCGTATGCGTTACACAGTTCGTGACAAAATTGAAATATCCTCTGCATGGGTACAAAAATAGCGTATAACTTATAAACAATATACTCATAAATTAAGACAGAAATAAAAGTAGATTTTTGTATTTATACCACCAAAAAGTGCATACTCTGTTTACTGAGTTAAAAAAGGGGGTTTCCTGGTTTTGTACGCAATTTCTGGATAGTGTCCTTTAATATTTTCTGGTAATCTGCAGTCAATTTAATCACAGGCTGAGAATCACTGACATATAACTACAGTTTTAGAGTCACCAGCCACATATTTAGGTAAGGGAAGAGAGCATTGCGCGGTCGGCTACAGCGTTTGTAAAGTTGCATGTCAAATGAAATGCTTCGGGCTCGGAATTCCAATCTAGTCTGCATTAGGTGCCGAACTCGAAGAACAACCAATCCCTAGCCATATTTCTTCCATGGCTTATTTGAACCAACACCTGGGCTGGTGGGTGTGGAAACCAGGTAAACTAACGGGCAGGCAGGAAGTCAGCTTAGGCCTTACCTTATCACCGAACATTTTTGTTGATAGCCCTGATATAATCTAACTTCGAAATAATTCGAAAATTAAAGTTTTTTGCATATTGTTTAACCATTTTAACAATTATTTTGAACAGATTGAAAAGTGCTCATGATAAAAACTAGCTTATGATGATTCGATTGTAAGCTCGAACCAATATATATCTAATATATTATACATATATATTTTCTTGCAATCCACATTCTCCATTCGACAAAATCGTATTGCATCTGAATTGGAACATTTGCTCGCAAAATTTATTTGAAATAATCAAAAAAACAAAATAAAAAGTAATTATTAATAATAATAGTTGGAGAAAAAATTTGTTAAAACAAATAAATATTGCGAAATTAGATCAGTTTTAGGTGACTTAATCGAGTGTTGATGCGGGCACATACTATTTACAGCTTTCACTCGTAAACGGTTTTTGTTGTCCTCGACCCAAGCGCTTTAAAAGCTGCGCGGCTGTGATCCAAAGCCCAGGCCGACGCCGCGCATCGTGTGCGTGGCGGCACGTGCCACCTCGTACTGCTGTTCCATGTTGGAGAACATGCGCTGGCGCAGCTGCACATCGGCTGGGACAGATCCGCCATTGGTGGTGGTGGTGCTGCTGCTGCTGCTGGTCTGATCAATCGCTGGATCGGCTTTGGCTGCCGCATTATTGTTGCCATTATTGTGGGTGCCGCTGCCGCTGCTGCTGGTGCTGTTGCTGTTGTTGTTGTTGCTATTTGTATTGTTATTGGCATTCTTGATACCCATGAGTCGCATAAACTTGGACGCCACCTTGCCATCGGAGTCCTGAGAGAAATGCGCATTGCCCCACTTGTTGGCCGAATCCTCGTTCTTCTTGGAGCCCCAGAGCAGTTTACGCTTCTGCTGCTGCTCCGCATAGCGATTGGCATTGATAATGCCCGGATTATAGTATTTGGGTAGCTGCACAGCCGCTGGCTGTGCATCGACTAGCACGCTTGCCGGCGTGTTCAGCTCCAGCGACATTAAGGATGGTATTTTGGGCGCATAGTTGGGCGTTGGCAGCAGGCCGCCGCCACCGATAACGCCGCCAGCTGGAGTCATAGTGACAGATAGGGCAGCTGCTGCTGCTGCGGCTGCGCCCGGGCCAGCTGTTGTAAATGGCACTGGCGGCTTGCCGAGTAGTCCGGCTGCTGGGAAGGCGGCTCTCATTAGCGGCTCGCTGGACTTTCTGACGTTGACTGGACGCTCGGGCGGCGATCTGGAACGGCTGCTAGAATCGCGCGAATCACGTCTGCGATATTTGCGTGTTGCCTGCGTGCCCAATGACTGCGGCGGCGCCTGACGCCGACGATTTGACGGCGCATCAATAGGTGTGCGTGTGCGGGACCGTGAGCTCGAACGTGATCGGGACCGCGAGTCGCGACGTCGACGGCCGCGTTCATCATAGGAGCGTCGCTGCGAGTGCTGCAGCTGCTGTTGCAGCGACTGAGATTTGTACGTCAGCGATGACGACGAGGCTGAGTTGTAGGAACGCGAGTTGTCGCTGTAGCGCGTCTCTTTGGTGTGATGCCGCGACGCAGTCCTATCCCTATCTCTATCCCTGCCACTGCCACTGCCATGGCGGCGTTCTTCGCGCTCGCGTTCGCGCTCGCGCTTGTAATCGCTCTCTTTGTTGCTTTCTTTGGTGCGATGATGGCGTTCGCTCTGTAAATAAAGTGTAAATTATTGTTAAATGATTCCATCAAATTGATTCAACACCAATGACACGAGAGAGAGTGGGAAAGGGCATGTGCAAAAGGGCCTGCAGCATAGCTTATTGATTGAACAGAGAGGGGAATATGGGCCAAAATAGTTAAACTTTCAGCTTTAATACATGCCCTGCCCTCGTGTCATTGCATGGCACTCACCTTGCTGTAGTCCTTATCCCTATCCTTCTCCCTGTTGCGCTCTGTTTCACGGTGTCGGCCGCGGGCATCCTGTAACGAAATGAAGAAGGCCATGGAAACTCATATTATTGCTTCGTATTCGATGCGGCTGCTTATAATCAAAACAAATGAAACCTTTCATAACAAAACAGAATGAAACGTAAGACAAATTGGGCGCTGGACACAACGTTTTTGTTTAAAGGAAGAAACCAAAAACGTTTCTTATGCATTCGGCTCTGCCCTGCAAGTCCATGCGTGTGTGGATGCGGTGGAGATGTGGTTAATGTTGTTCTTGTTGTTATCGTTGTTGTTATAGTTGTGGTTGTTGTTGTTGTTGTTGTTGTTGTTGTTCAGTTTGTGACTGCTGGCGCTGCTGCAAGAGATGTTTGAATTGTCGCTTCGGCTACGCGAGAACCAACGGCTTCTCACAGTTGGATAAGTTCATAGATAAGTGTGTGGATTAAATGCTAAGTATTGAGTTTTTGGTTATTATTTTATGTTGCAATACTCACATTGATGCGTCTCGATTCTCGATTCGTTCTCTCTTTGTCGCAACCATGCGGTTAGAGTGTGTGTTCAAGGAGTTAAAGGAGTGGGACACAATACCCTGTTGGGCGCGTTGGAACAACTCTAATAACTCTAAAACAGTCACGTTCACGGTTTATCGGTTATCGTTTATCATTTATCGGTTATCGCTTTAGGTCTTAACTGTCTCAGTTCGTTTACAGTACTCAGGTTCTCTAAAGTTTCTGTTTTTTTTGCTAGTCGAGTTCGCCAGGTCCTGGTCGAGACTATCTTTTTTTCTTTAGTTTTTGGTTTTTTGTTTTTTTTTTTTTTTTTTTGGTTTGTTTACATAATAATAACAATAATAAAATGGTATATTTTAGTCATATATAAATATAAAGGTTGCATAAAAGTTTAAGCTTAAATATGTATTAATAACAAAATACGAGCACAAATTAGAATTGCAATTATGACTATAATTGATACTAATAGAGTTGTTACAACAACCTCGACTCCAGCACCACGACTCACAAAAACTATATAGTTTCCCATTATAAATCATCCAGACAAACATGCACGCACACTAGACACATTAGACCCGCCCGCAGTCCTTCGATGGAGGATGGAGGAGCTCTGGGAAGCGGACAAGTAAAACTAAAGCAGCCCCAGACAAGAAATTGGAAATAGGGCAAAAAACAACCATCAACGAAAACATTGAGCTATAAAAACTTAAATATATAATAATAATAATTATGTGTGAGTTTGTGTGTGTGTAGGTACATAAAGTGCATTTATGTACGAGCACATATTGTATAAATGTACAAAATTAGAACAAAATTAACTATAACTATGTGCCTCGCATAAATGTTTAAATATCAGTGCATTGCCTGAAAAACACAAATAGTTTATCAACCATTTTGCATTTAAGACTTTAAAGTACATTTTCTTGTTCTTTCATATCATACTATATCTATAGTAATTAATTGTTAATGACAAACAGTTCACAGTTCTCAAAAGTAGTTCAATCATAATTTCCCATTTCCTATTCATAACTATTATTTTGGTTAAAACAAATCGTGGATCCTTGAAGGGTTTTCATACTTGTTTTACTGGCATTCAAGTTCAACTTTCTTATTAAGGTTAGCACTAAAAAATGGTTTAGCTAAATAACAAATCAGCCCAGGAGGACGTTTGGTAGAAATTGTACAACTTTTCAAATTTTCATATAAATGCGTGCCTACTCTAGACTCATAATTATTTCCCTGTAGGGGGAGTAGAATGGAGTAGAGCAAAGTGAGGCGACATAAGGAGGCCATAAAGCATATAGAATCTGGATCTGTCTGACTGTCTGTTTCCATGCTAAGGTAGCCTTTCAGTTTTGAAGCTTTTGGCATAAGCCTTCGCACAGCTTCGTCCTTCTATAATGGGCAGTAAATATATCTAAACCGTCCAGATCGAGTGCATCATATAGTTATTAGGGAACGATCGGTCAAACAAGTTCTTCTATTAATGATTTCTTTGTTCTTTTAAGATATCTTAAGCCTAGCATTAGTTTCAGTATAACTATCTACAGGCAATATACACTACAATACAGACATATAGCTCAATGGCAAGAAATGGTAACAAGACTAGTTTTTGTACGACAACAATTACTGTTATTTCCTCAACACAACAACAAGCTTTATAATTCTACTGATATATACAATCTTAGTCTTTGCCCTTCTCCCTTCTCGTTATACTGACTGGCTGATCTGTTAAATACATGATAACAATATAGACTGATAGCTTTAGTATTTACTTAGAACATAAACGAAAAGTTCCCTGTGCTACAACAAAATGTATTCAAAAGCCTTAATTGCAATTATGGCTCCTTAGTTGCTTTTGGTTGCGACAGTTAAATAATTATATGAGGCATTTAAATATCTATGACAATGACAACAAAAGTTTACCTCATCTTTGTTGTTGTTGTTGTTGTTGTTGTTGTTGTGGTTATGGCGACTGCTGCGGCTCCTGTGATGACGATGACGATGGTGATGACTATGTCGCCCTCCGCCACTTTGTAGCGGAGGTGTGGTCGGCATTTGATGGTATCTGGCCATCTTGGACATGGATGTTGAGGCCGGCTGGGGCGACAGCGTTGGCAGACGTTTCTTCAACTTGTCTA